AAAAACTCGCTCAAAACCTCACAAAGAGCCTTGAAAAGAGGTTTTCTGTTGGTTTTGCGATGTGCTCTTTCATATGGACAGATCAAAAAATTTTTTGGTGCAAATGATTTTTCGGCCTAAAAACCAAGATCTTTGAAAAACGGGGCTTTAAGGTGAAAGCGGGCAAAAACCATTATGATATTCGGAATCAGCATGTTCGATTACCCCTTGTCAACTAAGTTAAACCTCAAAAGCTAGAGATCAGTCGGTGGCCTTCTCTCGTCAGTTGCACCTGAAGTGAAATTTTTAATAGCGTAAATCGTGCATAATGATAAAGTAATATAGTGTGTTTTCATGTTTCAACTATTACTTGGAAAGAGAAAAGTCAAAAACAAAGGGGATCCTATCATTTTACTAATCCCTAGATCTTAATATGTTAAGCGGGTAACGACTTTTTATAGTAAACATAACGGTTAATGCAACTGATTTTAATTTAATTTTTATTTTTTATTATTGTGAATTTTCCACCTCTCCTTTCGGATGCAAAAGAAAGAAAAAAAGAAAGAAACTCTTTCTTATTTGTTTTCTTTCTTTCTTTGCACCGAAAATGTATATCGCGTCTGAACGAATATTCGATGATGCAGTTCTTGTCTGATAACGACCCTGAAGGTCCAAAATTCACAATGATAAAAAATTAAAATTAAATTAAACTGAACTGCATTAGCTATTATATTTGATATAACTTAACAAATATGGTGTCATAGATCTTTGCTGAATATATAATTTATATTTTATTAAGATAAGAGATACGATTTTATTTTTACTAAAGTGTAGGATATTACAAAAAAGAACAAAAGACTTGTGGCATCCGTGGATACCCTGTGATAGCCGAAAACTAAAAATTTCCAAAAACTAAACATTAAATATATTAATTAATATATTGTTATTTGATTCATATCAATTTGCAACATGTGAATACAATCATTTTGCAATGTTACTACAGGGCATTTAAAACTGCAACCTATGACCGAAGCTGATTACCTTGCTACAAAAAAAAGTAGAAAATTGCAGAACGAAATCTAGAGCAGAACGGGTTTCTTTTTTATCAAGTGAGAACTTGTGTGAGGCTCGCAATGTAACATGAGATTTTTAAAAGTAATCAGCAGGCCAATAAACAGCTTGACCCAATCGATATAATTCCTTGACTTGTTCGTATTGAGTTGTTGATAAGCTAATATTACGGATCATGCTTTTGCTCTGTCGAATGGTCACAGTTCCAAATTGTTCAAACAATTTCTTGTCGACGTATTGTGGCAAAGTAGAAAACTCAATTAGTTTTCCACCACGTCTAGCCAATTCGACAACAGCGGCTTCTAATAAATGCTTTTCGATTTCGTAGTCAATTGCTCTCCATTCCGAAACACACACTCCACGTTCTTTATGTTTTTCGTCCAACATGCTCAGTACAGCATACCCTTTCTCCTGTATCTCATATAATACAGATGATGTCGTTTTCCAATTCCAGCCAACCCAATGTTGAACGTAGGACTGAGATCGATCTAGTTGTAAGGGTCGGGGACACTTGGAATAAATGTCAAGTAATGTATTATTTGCTGGTATTGTAAATGGCTTCCATGAGGCGCTTTGTTGAATTGATAAACTGCCATCATTTAATACAACGCTTACATTCGGAGATTCCGTTTTCTCCCAGTCCAAAGCCGCATAGTGAGATTGCCGATTAGGGAGACTGTTCAACAGCGAATAGTGAAATTTCTCTTTTTCCATTTTGCTAATCGCAGTTCTGAGAAGATGACGTGAGAAACCGTGACAACGATATTCCGGTACTGTTGCAACGTTCGCAATACCACCGCACAAATATTTTTCACCATTCCATTGTACGTTTCGTATTGTTGTAGAGTTTACCATTAGAACTATCACATTTAAAAGATTTTTCTTTATATTGCTAAGGTGATATTCGTGATCAGCTCGACAAGACGAATCGGAATATGTATGATTAAGTCAAAAACAAATTTTGCTCGAAGTTCAAATTATGGGCACCTTACAACTGACAGACAAGTTTCAAACAAATGGAACAAATACTTATTAGTATGATTTATTTAACTAAATCAAGTTTTTTTTTCTATTGTTAAGTTTCTTTGCAATTGATCTTGCAATTGATCATTCTATTAAACACGAATTAGTCAATTGTTATCAAATATTTTCAGGTTACGGCTTCAACTTCGTGGTCAAAATTAGACCCCTGGTATAAATGTAAATTTAGTTTTATCTCCAAAACGACTAAGAATCCCTTTTTAAAGAGCGATGATATTTTTTCTGCATGTTCTTTACGTTTCCATAGATGTATTTGTTCGTCGTAAAATGAAATTGGATATTTTGGGTATCGCAGAAACGCATATGAACCTTTCAGATAGAATAAAACAAAATGAGAAAATAATATATTTATCAAGTCGTAGTGATGGTAAACACCGACAAGGAGTGGGTTTTGTAGTTTCAAATAGAATGAACAAATTGGTTAAAGAATGGAAACCTATAAATGAACGTATAATAATAATTAGGTTGGTCTCAAAACATGCAAAGTTCACGATGATACAATGTTATGCACCAACAAATGAAAATGAGAACGAGAAGAAAGATGAATTCTCCAACAAATTACAAGACATTATTAAGTCAGTGCATAAGCATGATGTTCTGATTGTAATGGAGGATTTAAATGCCAAAGTAGGACAACGAAGAAATGATGAAGAAAAATGTATAATGGCTAAGCATGGCCAAATATGTGATAGAAATGATAATGGAGAAAGATTTGTTAACTTATGCATGATAAACAATTTGGTAATTGGAAGTACGAAATTCGAGAAAGTTAAATCTAACCGAACTACAGGATAAACAACTACAACAAGAATTTCAGCTGAAACTTCAGAATAAATACGAAGTATTGTCGGCGACGAATGGTGAAGATATAGAAAACATGTAGGAAAATTTCACAAAAGCAACATATGAAGCTGTAGTTGAAACTGTTGGATATATGAAAACCAGAAGAAAGAAGTGGATGAGCAAAGATACCTGGCAACTAATAGAGAATAGGAATAAAATAAAGGTCAAAGCACAAGAAAATGAAGTAACATTCGAAGAATATAAATTATTAGATAAGAAAATAAAGAGAGCCGCAAGAAGAGATAAAAACAAATGGATGGCAGATATCGCAAAAGAAGCTGAGTGGCGGCAGAAAAAGGAAAGATTCGAAAACTGTATAAATTAGTGAATGAAATATGCACAAAACATAAGGTTGCAAATGAGCTGCCAGTTAAAAGTACTGATGGTACCCTAATAACAACAATAGAGGGGAAAAAAGACAGATGGCGAGAATATTTTGAATATCTGCTCAATAGACCAAACCCAGAGCAACAGGCAGTTTTTAAAGAAGGAAAGAGTCGATTATTAGACATCAAGAAAGATGCAATTACTCTAAACGAAGTAAAGCAGGCCATAAGAAAATTGAAAAACAACAAAGCTCCTGGAGTAGATAAGATTAGTGCAGAAATGTTAAAGGCTGGTGGAGATATAATAGCAAAACGACTGCAGAAGCTGTTGAATCAAATATGGAAACAAAATAAGAGCCCAAAACAATTTAAACGTGGTATTATTGTAAAGTTGCCAAAGAAAGGTGATTTATGTGATTTTGCAGACGATATCGTACTTATAGCTGATAATACACAGAAAATGCAAGAAAAAACAGATCGTACAGATACGCATAGTAAATCAATAGGGCTAAAAATAAATGCAAAGAAAATAAATATTATGGTGGTAAATGGAAACAAGTTTGAAGATAATGTAGAGATTATGGTTAATAATAATAAATTGGCAAAGGCGCAGAAGTTTATGTATTTGGGCAGCAAAATATCTCAAAGCGGTGCCATCATGATAGAGATAAACAATAGAATAGCTAAAGCAGCATACGCACTGAAAGCACTAAACAAAGTATGGCAAAATAAAGGTATTCCATTGAAAACAAAGATGCAACTGTACAGAGCAAATGTAATAGCAGTGTATAGTATGTGAACGTGGCAGCTAACCAAACATCAAGAAGAAAAAATAAATTCTTTTGACTACATATGTTTGAGGAAAATTTAAAAAATCAACTGGACGCACAAGGTATCAAATGCAGAACTAAGAGAAAGAGTTAAGTTACCAGCCGTTGTGCAAACTATGAAAACGCAACGACTACGTTGGTTCGGGCATCTAATAAGAACGGACAGGGATAGGCTCGCTAAACAGATATTATAATGAGAATCACAAGGAGGAGAAACAAAAATGGGAAGACCACCAACGTCATGGACAGAAACAATTACTAGAGACTTAAAGAAAATGGGGTTGACTTACGATGAAGCTATACAATTGGCAAGAAACAAAAACGAATGGAATGCATTTTTATTGCCCATTGCACCAAAGGGTGACTGGTCAAATAGATAGATAAATAGATTTGCTCGTCAAATGAAAGATTCTGTTCGGATATACATACTTTTTCGATTGATAAATAAAGTTTATATAAAAAAAATATACATACTACCCGCACACTAAGAATGATTTTCACTCTTTCACCGTCTTTCACAATAAAATTCACTACTTTGAAAACTACACTTGAACAACCATGGGCGTTTTGGGCAATGCAACATTTTTTGGATGTACACGATCCTGCCATATACTGATCTTGATCAAAATGACATGAACAAAGTGTATTACCACCAATACATCCTGCATCTTTGCTGCAAGACTGACCAAGACCAACTCTACATTGTCCACTAACACATACACCAGGTGAACAGCAATCACTAGGCATAATGTAGAAAGGACTACCAGGAGCATGCGAGAGCTTATGAAACTCTTCCTCTGTTCGTAAGAGGCTGTAACCGATTCCTTCTCTCGCAGACTATGCATGCTTAACATATCGATCCCTATCGCTTCCACATGTATCTCCATCACTGGCCGGTAAACAACAAGTATTTGAACTACACAGTACCCTTGTATCAATACAATCATCTTGCCGGTTTTGAAAAAATGTTTAAACTGGTGAAAAAACGGCAGAAAGTCGGCCGGTTTTCAAAGATTTTCTAGACAGACAAGGGGGCAGAAAAACTTTTTTGTGATTTTGTGTTTTCGATAGTTTTAGTTTAGAATATTATAATGGAATATATTCCGCTTGCATTCTGACAGAATAAAGCTTATATCAAACTAGTGTTGCCATGTTGACTCGAATTAATCAATGCCTGCCCTAGTGTACGAAATGGATTCGTTGGTGATGAATTTATTTGACTACCTAATATCGTATTAAATATAATAATAGATCCAACTGCTAATGATGCCAGTGGTTCCGTAATGCTTCCACATGTTGATGTTTATAAAATAAACGACACAATGACTTCCCATACAAAGCCTTTAACATCGGACGACAGCAGCATATGGTCGACTGAGTTCGTACCGTAATAAACATTTTCTTTGAGTAAAACAGGCATAAGACCACCAGCTGATAATGAAGCGAGAAATTGAACTACGTAATAAAACGGTAGCCAAATAAATGGAAATGTCCTTCTTAAAGAAAATATAAGTGTAACAACGGGATTAAAATGTGCACCTGATAAACTTCTCAAGGAGTAGATCAAACTGACAATGATCAATCCGTTGGCTATTGCAAGCTCGATAGCTGACATACGTTTTAAATTCATTTGTATTCTCAAACTTGCATGACCTAATACTAACAAAAATGTACCAACAAATTCGTATAACAAACGACGTAAAAGCTTTAGTAACGCATTTATATCATTTCTTGTATACGCATCATGTCGATAAGTCAACTCAATTATTTCATGTTGTTGTGATACTCGATCTTGCCATTGTATGTTATTCAATAAGTTCAATATCTGCATTTGCTGTTTTCGTTCGAGTTCAGTACGACGTTTATTTCCTTTTTCTTCCCATTGTTGTTTTTGAGATTTTTCTGTTATCTGTGGCTCGATAAGGTAACAATATAATTTTCGAACTACGTATGACTATATCATAATTAAGAGGCAAATGTTTTACATTATCTTTAACCAGGGTATATATCGTAAACCAAAGATAAACATAGAACGAGATTAAATGACGTACCTACCCATTTTGTTTTACATACCACCAATATATCTAGATGATTAAGTTCGACAAAAATAGTGTTAACGGATAACCAGGATAAAAGTGAACTTTAAAAGTCTAAAGTGAATCCGAATATGACCATGGGGGTTGCCCTTCGAAGATCTGGTTTTCTAGAAACTCTAAAATATAACCTGAACCTTTCTTAATGAGGCAGAATTGTAGCCCGCACATTTCTGATTGAAATGAGATATCTCCCATCTTCACACGACCTTTCTTTGCACAGTTATAAAATTTACAAGAAAAGTCCTAAATCTTCATGATCAGCTCAAAGCTACAGAAATAAGAAGGAAAAAGTTAATTAAAGGCTTTTCTTGTAAATTTTATAACTGTGCAAAGAAAGGTCGTGTGAAGATGGGAGACATCTCATTTCAATCAGAAATGTGCGGGCTACAATTCTGCCTCATTAAGAAAAGTTCAGGTTATATTTTAGAGGTTCTAGAAAACCAGATTTTCGAAGGCCAACCCCCATGGTCATATTCGGATTTACCGCGAGAAATTTGTTTGAAAAAAAAGCGTGAGAATTGCGTTTGACGTAATCATAGGTCAAACTGATCAAAAACGCGGTTTTGATTAAGGCGTATATTGGTAATACACGACCGGTGATTTTATCTTCTTGATGTGTCACAGGGGTTGTCTCAATCAAAAATATTGGCTTCTAGTTTTGTGATTTCAGTAGTAACACATCTCAACCGTGCAGTCATAATAGATTGAATAGTTAACTTGAGAATAATTCACACAAACAAAGAGAGAAAAGATCTTATTTCGTTATAATCTAACGCAGTATTATTTATAAATGATTTTAGTGGGATATGACACATGCACTCTGATGCGAAATTTTGTCCATATTTTCAAAACTGATCAATCTGGCTTTTGTACAACACTCATTTGTAGCATATTGGAGGAATGAGCTGTACTAGATTGCTTTTAATCACATAAAATAAGGTATCGCATCACTCGCTGCAAGCGACATCTCATTTGCAAAAATGTGTTTTTTTCCATTTCAAGTAAATCGCGAAAATGAGGTACTTATTATGATGAGAAAGAGAATGAGAAAGGGCTGTTAAATGTTTTACTTCTTATGCAAAATGTTTAGAAATAATCTACATTGGTACATGTTAAAGTTTCGAACTACACTGCGTGTTGAACATGTCGGTATTTTTCTTATCGGTAAACTTTTTCGTTCTTATTTTTGCTTTTTACGCTATATCGCATTTTTAAGGGAATAAACCAAACACAAGGTGAGTAACGGGTGCGTGATGTATATATACAGAATCTACAAATGCTACTAAAGAAACAAACGAACAGTAACTGAATATCAATTGAATCCATTATGGCTGCACGATTGAGACGTATTACTACTGAAATCAGAAAACTAGAAGCTGTCTCTTCAATATTTTTGATTGAGACAACCCCTGTGACACAGCAAGAAGATAAAATCACCGGTCGTGTATTACCAAACAGTGAGCCATATTCAGAAGGTGAATATCGAATCGAAATAAACCTTCCACCAGACTATCCATTTAAAGCGCCTGAAGTACGATTTCTTACGGAAATTTACCATCCAGACGTTGAGTTGCCAGACGGTAAGCTGATTAAGTTCTGATTATTGTTTCTAATCAAACATTTTTTGTTATATGTTTCTAGGTAAAATATGTCTTGAGTTATTAAGTGTAGAAAAGTGGTTGGCGACGACATCAGTTGTTGATATTGTATGCATATACTATATTTTCTTCTCATCATTAACTATTGAGGGGTTTTGTATACGATGTTTAGGTAAAGGCTGTTGTTGATATGATTGATAAACCAAAACTCGACAACCCATTAAATACTGTAATGGCGTTAGAATATAAAAATAATCCTGCTCAATTTAGGGAAAAAGCTGCCGAGTATATTAAGAAATATGCGTTGCATTAAACCTTATGAACATCATACTGTAAAACGTACACAAATTATTAACGTTTAAATAAAAGTAATATCCAACTTTATCCATTTTAATGCCTGCGACTTTATTATTTTCTTTTTGTATCAACTTGTTGTCTCTGTATTATTTACTTTTTCATCTAGAGTCACATGGAGTAATTCTGTTCTATCGCCCATATGAATGGTCAGTCATTTAGACTTAATCTAAATTAAGTACTTATGAAATTACGAAAAGTAAATGACAGCCATTTTTTTCATTTTTCTTCTTTGGGGTAATTGTAATAATCCCGTGTAAGTCACAGGGATAGATAGAAAAAATCTTTAACGTCTCTTAGAAGCTAATTTCAATGTTATATTAAATGACAGAGTTATTCAGAATCCTATAATCTACCACATACGTGAAAATTGGGAGTATTTTCAACGAGAAATGGGCGTATAATAGAGTCGGAGGACTTTAAACACATTTTTGGGTATTACAATTAGTAGAATGATTTACCTACCGCATAAATTAGCCATTAGATCATCGACAATTGAAATTTTTAATGTAAATTATAAAATCTCCTTCCTGCTGAGTAGGTATGCACCGGTATCGGTATTCATACCGAAATACCGATACCGAAAATACCGATACCGACAATACCGAACTTCGGTATATACCGATACCGAAAATACCGAACTTCGGTATATACCGATACCGAAAATACCGACTTTTTTTTACTTGGAATTTTTTGGATTTTTTCATTTGAAATGAGATGTTTTAGCGTCCTGAATACCCAGAATGAATCAGGGACGGAAAACAAGAGATTTGTTTGCTTTCTAAAGCCAAAGTTTTTCTTTTCTTTCTATCTGAACATGCTCAAAATACACAGCTGAGTGTTGTTTATACGTTCTGCTTGTCCAGGATGCTAAAATACCTCATTTCAAATGAAAAAATCCAAAAAATTCCAAGTCAAAAAAAGCCGGTATTTTCGGTATCGGTATATACCGAAGTTCGGTATTCGGTATACCGATACCGGTGCATACCTACTGCTGAGAGAAAAAGAAATCTAAAAAACATCATATCTAACGTTAACTGTCTTACTTACGAGGAAACGTTCTCAGGTGAAGGATTCCGATTTCCTTTATTTCATATGCCGATCGATAGGTCATATGGAGGTATGAAAAAGGCTTAAAGGATATCGACCCAGTTTGCTTCCTTCAAAAGTTATACGCATTTTTCTAATGTTCCCAGCGGAAAACCCAAGAAATTGAAAAATTCATAACTCCGTCAAATTTTTGAGTATCTGCTTGAAACTTTTACACAAAATATTTACCCTAATCTAGTATTTACGCTGAAAGTTTCAGCCTTCAAGCATGTTTCATTTCAGAGATATAGAATTTTTCATTTTTCAAGGTATATAGGCAGAAAAACAGCTGCCTGTGGTTCTTCCTCAAACACACATTATCTTTTCTTATAATCAGTTGATTTTAGTTTGTAAACAAATCTAAGGGTTTCTTAATATTTAGAATATTCTTAATGTGGAAAATTTAGAAAAACACTAATTTAGTGATTAGTAGTGAGGAATAAGCAGAAAGAGAAAAAAAGGCCTTCTTCTAGATATTTCTCTATCTCATTCGATACGAACTTTACTAAAAGACAAAAGCAAACAACAAGATGATCAATTCTCACAATGTCAACCGACTCCTGTCGAATTTCATCAGAAAGCTGCTACCTACTGGCAAGCTAACGTATTCTCACACGCAGCGCGACGAAGATGCAGCAAAAAATTTGTTCACAGCCTGGAATCGATTTTAAATTGCACACACTATAGTTTCGAGTCTGAACAGACATTAGACTTTTAGAAAAATTCTATATCTCTGAAATGAAACATGCTTGAAGGCTGAAACTTTCAGCGTTTAACTAGATTAGGGTAGATATTTTGTGTAAAAGTTTCAAGCAGATACTCAGAAATTTGACGGAGTTATGAATTTGATGAATGCTGATCGATATGAACGAAGGAAATCGGAATCCTTCACCTGAGAACGTTCCCTCGTTAGGAGAGAATTGGTCGTATGTGCCATGACTCAAGTTTAAGTTAACATGAAACCTCAAACCTATAGAATTTCGAATAAACTTAGAAGAGGAATAAAACCTGTATTCTGATTTGTTTACGTATGGAAAATTTATTTCTCAAAAAATGTTCGTTGTGACCGTGTTTCTAGAAATCCTTCTTCATGGTAAAAATCAGTAAATATCGCTTTTTCCCGTGAAGATCCATTTGTACAAAGATGAGTCCAGCACACGAAAGTTAGCAGATCAAATTTGCCATGTATTTGTTTCGAGATTCAACTTTAGAATACACTTCCTGCCTAATGAAAAATTGAAAATTAATTCCAAACTGGTGTTCCTGTATACAGAATACGTACGCATTCAAGCAAAAAAAATGGAGCTAGAATCGGGCAGTTGGAGCTAGTTAACACGATTTTCGACCCGGTTAAGCTAGCTCCACCTCAAAAAGTTTAACCCAAGATCGGGCGGTTCACGATACTTTTGGATGGTTAGGGAGATTATCACCTAGGTTAACCGCCCACTTAACCGACCGATCGAGCTAGCTCTAGTGGATCTAGCTCCGACCACCCGCTTAACCGACCGGTTAAGCTAGTTCCCGATATCAAATAGCTTAAACACAGGGAGTTTATCACCTAGGTTAACCGCCACTTAATCGACCGATCGAGCTAGCTGTTCTTTTCCTCTCCTTTTGATATAAGCTTTATTCTTTCACAATACACACTTAGAATACAGAATACTTGTATTCTGAAATAATAAAGCTTATATCAAAAGGAGGGGAAAATTTAACTGAGGAGAAAACTGAGGAAAGGAGGACGAGTACGATGCAAGGCTAGGTTAAGTCCATTGCTTTTTAGGAGTAAAGCATTTAGGAGAACTTTTAAAACTGTAACTCTAAACGGCAACGACACTTGAAGAAACTTATAAATCAATTTTACTACGAATAGTAAGAAAGCAGAAAAGTACAATCCTGTTGCAGATTCGAACCTGCGAGACAGTAATCTTTTTTGCTTCTCGTATTTTCTGCCTGAAAAAAGCATTTCCGAGGGTTGTGTCTCGAACGTAAAATGTGACAAATTTAATTTTCTAAAGTTTGTGTGTTAGGACCAGCTTTCAAGAAATCGTTCTTCATGGTGAAAAACAGTAAATATCGTTTTTCATCGTGAAGACCGATTTTTAAAAAGTTGAGTCTGGCAGATAAAATTTAGAAGATTAAATTAGCTACAGTTGTGTCTCCGGCATTTGTGATTTCTCACAATGAAGAAATTGTTTTTCAAAGTTGAATCTAGAGACACAAATGTAGCTAATTTAATTTTCTAAATTTTATCTGCCAGACTCAACTTTGTAAAAATCGGTCTTCACGATGAAAAACGATATTTACTGTTTTTCACCATGAAGAACGATTTCTTGAAAGCTGATCCCAACACACAAACTTCAGAAAATTAAATTTGCCACATTTTACGTTCGAGACACAATTCTCGGAAATGCTTTTTTCAGACAGCAAACATTAATCTCTGAAATATCTTCTCAATGATTTCATCACTTATCAACTACTACATGTGTGCCTGGTAGCTTAGTTGGTTAAAACGTCATACTTCCAATCTCAATTCTGATAATGCGCTACAGTCGGCGAGTTCGATTGTCGTTCGGTACATGTTCTTTTTTTCTTATTTTTTAAACTAGCTTTGAGTACCCGGTTAACCGGGCACTCCAACTACCCGGTTAATCTACTTGATAACCATCCTCTTATTAAATATATTTGGTCTTCGGCGCTAGCTTAACCAGTCGGTTAACCCAGTTGTCAACCTCCCGCTCCTACTCGATTATGACAATCTAGTGCTCGGTTTACTTCTAGGTTGGAGCTAGCTATTACTAACTAGGTAAAACCTAGATCCAACAAGGGAATAACCGCCCGGTTATGTGGTCGATGGAGCTAGATTTTCTGCGTATACACTACCACAATCATATTTGCAGGTGTTGGCGCAAACGAGTTTTGAAGTCTTTAATAGTGGGAGAGCTCACTACAGCCTCGACTAGGGTTGTATTCCACTCGCGAGCAGTTCGGTAAAAGAAATTGTTGACGGTGGTCTGAGTTCGAGCAAAAGGAACCTCGACTTGAGGTTCATGTAGAGTGTTACGATTCGATTGTCTGTTTGGGTTATGTCTGATAATGCCTAATCTAGAGAGAGGGGAGAATCCTCTAAAAATTTTGAAAAAGAGAACGAACCGGAAATATTTACGTCTCACCGAAAGCAGAGAAAGGTTTAATTTGTTCATTAGGTCAGATCCTGCACTGTTAAAATCCCGTGTGATCATATGTGCAGCTAAGCGTTGAACAGATTCTAGACGGGTATTGTTCTTTGCAAAGTCACTATCATATAATGCACATGCATAGTCCATCTTACTCAAAATGCAAGTTTTATAGATTTGAAGCCGGACGTGAGCAGATGCTTCTTTAAATTGGCGATACATCGCTCCAAGACGTTGCCTACAAGACAAAGCGAAGTCTTCTACGTACTGAACCCACCTCAAGTTGTAACTTATCTTGAGACCTAACAGGTTAGATGCACAGCTCGATTCATTAGGGTTCCTTGATTTAAAGTAAATTGGTAATTATCAGCTTTTTCTGGACTATTAGAGACAAACATCCAAGAGCATTTCGAGACGTTGAGTGACATTAAGTCACCTAAGCACCAATTATTGATGTGACCTATGATAGCCTGGCAGTCGGAGAGCGAATGTGAGGCAGAAATGGGACAAATCAACGTGCAGTCATCAACAAAGAGGATAGAATCAGCCGGCAGTGAAACCTTTAACGGTAGTTCATTAATGAAAATTGAGAATAGGAGGGGCCCTAGAATTGAGCCCTGAGGTTGAGCCCCCAGTAGTTACTCGACAGAATTTAGAGAGTGAAGTGCCCACTCTCACTTGCTGCCTTCGACCACTTAGGTAACTAGAGAACCATTTAAGAGCACTAGTGGAAAGCCATAAAGAGGACAGTCGATGAAGTAGTATCTGAACTGGTACTCTGTCGAATGCTTTTTCTAAATCAGACGTCACTAAAACAGTATCAACAGGGTTGGTTTGATTCAGGTTTTCCGTGAGCTTATGCAACAAATAAGCAAGAGCATCTAACGCGGAAGGTCTAGGACGAAAACCGAATTGATTATTAGAAAAAAAGTAGTTTTCGTTTAACTGTTTAAGAAATTGATCGTATATAAACCTTTCGAGAACCTTACTAACAATAGGTAAAACAGATATCGGTCTATAGTTGGATACTTGATATTTAGCTCCTTTTTTATATGTGGGATTAACTAATGCCAGTTTTCATAAATCGACAAAAGCTCCACCGTCTATTGAAAGCTTAAATACGTGATGTAACTACTAAGCAAGGATGCTAGCACCATTTTTCAGCACAACGACTGGAATCTCATCAGGTCCGCAAGCAATATCGTTTCTCAATTCCATTAAAGCTTTCGTTATATCCTCTTTAGAAGGAGTTATAAAACTGAGCACCGAATTGAATTGGCGATGGGGTACCTTTAGGTGGGGGAGGCATTGGACCGGATTTAGGGCTGTAAGAAAACTGTTGACTGAATAAATCAGTCTTCTGCTCGTGGATGGAAGCACTATCCGTTCCGTTGGTAATTGTAGCGGTAGAGTAATGTTGGTTGCCTTTACGTATATGATTAATGGCATCCCAAAATTTACTAGGGCTAGTAAAGGAAGGAGCTATGCGTGCGAAATGATCGGTATTATCCTTCTTTACAACACTTTTAACTACTTTACGTCACTTTCTAAAACTCTCTTTAGACGCTACCGAATTATGATTGCGCTTTTTAGATTCAAAGGCTTTATTACGCATGCGCAACGCAAGATAATAACTACGGCTGTTTTTAAAAGTGATGGATTTTGGTTTTAGTTCTTTCCATGGTACATGATGGTCAACACAGGATGAAATATGTGCAGACCAGATTTCTAAAGCTTTATCGCATGTACTGCTACCGAAGAAGGAGGGATCAATGTTTGCTATATCTGTAAGTAGTAGCCACTGAAATAATAATACTGAAATAAAGTGTGTGCAACAGTTACATTCTTCTTTGGGTATTAACCATTGAATGCAAAACGATTCTGAAAGGAATAACCTCACAGTATCCTATGCTCAACGTTTCTCAACTATTCAGTACGATAGATATACCAATCGATAGAGAATTTCCCGCGCTAAAAGTTCATATATATATGATAGTGACAAAAGTCTATAAGTCATTTGTTTTAAATTTGCTTACTTACGTGTCAGCTATCTGGAAACTTGTACTTCAAAAACAGAAGGAACTTACTAACACTGTTTACTTTCGACAGATAGTAGCATCGGACTACCCACCGGATCTTTTTTTCTCTATTTATAGCGTTTTACGGCTATACAACTTCGAGGGGAAACTTCGAATCCCTAAGAACGATTTTCAGTTCGAAAGGCACATCAATGGATGCTGATATGAGATAAATCTATAGCGTTGTAATACCACAATTTAAGAGAAAACATGTTTTATAGCCTTAAAACGGTTTAAATAGAGACTAAAAGATCCTATGGGTAGTCCGATGCTATACAAGTACATTTTGAAGTATAAGTATATTTTTACAAAAACAAAACACAACATTCTTCTGTATATTTGTCAAAAATATTGATGATCAATTCTGAAACAACATTGTGTATTGCAGGACAGGAAATTCTAATAATATTTTTCTGAATCAGCGTCGCCCAAAGTGAACGAAAGGAGCATGAAATAGGTAAGAATAAAAGACTAAGGCATAGTGTAGCAATTGGATTTCTCAGACATCCTTTATCCTCACAGAGGCTATAGCAAAATTCCACAAACACTACCTATGCTGAACAAGGTCTACGAATTACCCCCAAATGCCCAAATTCATTTCCATTGAGAAAGGTGAGTATGTATTTTAACGTCGATCGTCTTCAAACGGGACTGGACAAATTAGAGAAGAGCATGATCATGCACGAGAAGAGTTTCGATTAAGCCACGGATCATTTAAACAAGAACCCTGAACATGCTTTTTCGCAAATATTTACTACCTGTTCGCCTGGTGGCACTATCAACACGGAGTTCCACTGACGACGGCCAGTGAACATATGGAGCGGGCACTCTTGATCGGTCGTCAGTTGCATTATGACCTCATTCATGATCACTGAAGCACAAAGCGACTTGACTCTCTTTGCCTCTTGACACTCTTTATTTATTTAACAAATCCACTGTGGTAATAATGGTATTCATAATCTCACAAGATCGGCAATCACTCTCTGCTGACGCAAGTTGACGGCGGCGTTCGATCGGAAACGCTGACCAACACCACAGTTACAACCGTTGCAAACATCAGCATGTGTATGGGTAAGAAAAATATTTAAAAAATCACAACAGTTATAGTAATGCAACGTGAATCTGGTTTCCTTACTATACACCAGCTCGTGAGCTGGTCAAACGAGCTCTCAGGTTCACTAGTTCCATTTTTGAGACATACCATTGAACTGTCACACGTACACATAATCATCGTTTAAAACCGCTCTGTTTTTCCGAGAAAGTGCAATCTGACGTACGTGTTATTAATCTACGAGACAATGTGGCTTCGCTTCCGCTTCCACACGTGACACAAGCAAGTCATTGTTCTGACCTCAAAGGTGGTATTTCAGCGATTGCCATTAAACGATTAACGTGTCATAGTCATCACTACCGAGAAATGAAATAAATTCAGTCTGGCTTTAATGGACCCACGTTTTGAGTTTTTATTATGAAAAACTGTCACAGCATTTTGCAAAAAATCAAAAGCGATTACGATTATACAAAATAATTTAAAAGTGCTGCGACCAGGATAATTGTTGCAAAATAAAGTAAAATTCACAAGATAATCCTTATTATACATTGCTTGTCGCCGTTTCGCCAACATTATACAACGATTTGATGATTGTCTGAAAGTGCTTTCGAGCATTCGCTCTTCTTGTTTTGAGTGTTACTGTGAGAAGGCCGTTCTTTTGTGAGAATGGCTCGTCATGAAGATAGATATTGCTCATAGTTTCATAATATTTAAACTTGTACTCTTTGGCCAATCGAATCAAATCGGATAAAATGATCGCTTTCAGCTTTTCTTCCTGGCACAGATCGGCGAATGCTGTTGCTACTGCTGCTGATTTGAAATTCTTTCTTACATACTCTTCGTCTGGTATAACAATAGCTACTACTGTTGCTTCGCTTGAAATACCATCGATAAAGATTTGTGCGACCCATCGAGAACGAATATACACATCTTCGAGCCGTTCCGGTGCGATATACTTGCCTTGATTCAATTTAAAAATGTGTTTTGTACGATCAATAATGCGCAATGCTCCATTGCTTGTCCATTCTCCAACATCACCTGTATGCAGCCAGCCTTCTTCGTCAATTGTCTCACGTGTCTTTGCTTCATCATCATAGTAGCCTATTGAAAAGGATAAATGGATTCACCATAGATTATGTGGACTTGACTTACCTTTAAAAATATTCGGCCCTCGAATGCAGACTTCTCCTTGATTCATCTCACTTCGATAGTTCGTGTCTGGTACATCGATAAATTTGATTTCGACGGTGGCTACGGGTGAGCCAATTGTGCCATATGACATATCGGCAGGATGAGTGCTTGTACCAGCACCTGCTGATTCTGTTTGTCCATATCCCTCCATAATAGGTATATCTAGTGCGATGCGAAAAAAATGCATTACATCGGGCGCGATTGGTGCCGCTCCGGTTATCATTGCCTTTACTTCACCGCCGAATAATTTTTTGACTTTACGAAAGATGTACCGTGATAAAAACCACGATTCTTCACTACGCAATGCTTGTTGGACAAGAAATTGCTTCACTTTACTCTTGTTTACTTCGGCCATGACCGTATCGTAAATTTTGTTGAGAATACGAGGCACAACAGAAACTTGAGTTGGTTTCACAATTGAAAAGTACTCAACTAGTTTTTCAGGCGCCGGACAAAATACAACTTGAGTGCCGCGTAGAAGGATTCCCAAGAGTATGAATCGCTCGTATATATGAGCCATAGGTAAAAATGAACAATGTCGAATAGTAACAGATCTCGTCAAATTAGCTCGTTCCAGACGAATAGCATTACCTTTTGCCGTTGCCAAAAGATTCTCATGCGATAGCATGGCAATTTTGGGCTCGCCTGTAACAAAGAAGGAATGACTTTTACTATTGCTCTCCATGTTCTAGGGAAAGCACTTGTTTTTCAGCGAAACCGACCACGATGGATTTTCGAAGTAACCGTTCCGTTAATTTTACATTCATGCCTTTCATCCAGCGTTCTGCTATCGATTTCTTGCAAGATACGCTTAAGAAAACAAGAAATATATGCGATAACTGACCCATTTTCGCAAAATCTGTAATCCACTCGATTTCATTTGATTGAGTGTGTGTTCGATTCGACTCAGATCGAGCAAAAAAGATCTTTTCATTTTCCCAAGTGATATGTATCTCCCTTTCACGAAAAACGTTTCCCTTGTTGAAAACCGGTGCATAGAAAGAGGGTTGAAGTGTCAAGGAGCTAACATGAAGTATAATGTGAGCACGATATGAATAAACGTTTGTGCTATGCAGTTATCAATAGTGTGGATCTCTGATCTGAGCGCATTAGCGTTGCATCAAGCATCCCCTTCGCATAAGAAGACACACATATGAGAAATAAGAGTGAACTAACTCGATATTTTGACCTGATCCCTGTCTCAATCCCAGTCGGCAATCCATGATTCTGGTTGGACCGCGTACAGGCCGAACTATAAGGTCTCGATTTTCGATCCAACTAAAATTTTCCTAAAAACTATTAACTCTTAGAACGCTTATAGCTTGAACTGCATTGCTAAATAACCTCACGCTTGTGGAATAACAAAGAGATGCTTCTTTCACGCTTTGACGAGAAGTGGAATGAAGAAAAAAGCGGAAGATAATGGATACATGAAGTCTTTGTATTGTTGATGCTGTACAGAAAGAGCTACAGGGCAGCATTAGGGTCCACGTGTAGAGGAAGATGGGAGACAGTAAGAATCACTCGTGATCTGAACTAGCGCAAAAGAACATGCCGATGAGTGACAACGAACTGCACTTGTGACTCCTGAACTGCTGTGATGATACTAATAATGCAACTTTTTGAGGATGAGGGTCCTGTGAACTGTTGTTTGTTTTATTCTTTTATTTCTCGAAAACCAATGGCTATGAAAGGTGAAATAGGAAGTCAAACTTTTTCAGAAAATTCTAATCAAAGGGTTGAACTAGGAGACTTCCCACAATGCAAGACCAATAAAAGTATGTACGGGTGGAGAAGATGGAAGGCCTGTATCCTATCAACGAGTGGGCGTTGTTACCCCTGCTAAACATTAGATAGGGCGGTCGCTAATCACCCGAATAGGCGTGTAACAGCAGAAAAGCTATCTCAAGATCCGCAGAATGGATTTTGTTAAATCTCAGTACTTAAGGGTTTTGAGCGATGCTCTCTTCGATGGCTAGCTCGAAATAATTTTAAAACTGTCGGAAGTAGGGTTTCCAGAAAACCACAGTTTTTCACATATTCATTTACAAAAAATAATTTTTTTTAAAGAAACACTTGCTTGTAAGAATAACACAAATTAGCGGTTTTATTCAGAACTGAGTGGGCTACATTTTAAAAAAAAGTCAGACTCCCCAGCTCATAATCCGAAATTTTATTTAAATTTTAGAATTTGAAATTTTAACTTTTTTAAAAACTGCACTTCCGCTCCGCATCCACAAGCTAGCTGGAACATTCTCAAGGACACAGTTGGATAGAGCTCGAAAAGCTGAATGTACATGGACAGCTGATGAGTTCCAGACCTTGCATAAAAACGGTTTTCTAAAGGCTGAGATAAAGATAAAGTCGTCTCCCAAAAGTTAAAATTTCAGATTCTAAAATTTAAATAAAAATTTCGGTGGTTTTCTGGAAATCCTACTTCCGACACTTTTAAAATTATTTCGAGCTAGCCATCGAAAAGAGCATCGCTCAAAACCCTTAAGTACTGAGATTTAACAAAATCCATTCGGCTGAATTCCTGAACTCCCAGTGAAGTGAGTGCTTCTGAGATTGTACAAAATATGCTGTAAGAATTTTGCTTTTTATTATATAAGACATTCTTCGTTTAGCAGATGACAGAAACTAAAACATGGCTTTTGCTTTCAAATGAGTGTCCATGCAAGAACAGTGTTTGTTTTCTAATCTCACCACGTTGCAGTCGACCAGCGGTGATGCATTTTGGAATTAAAGAAGATACTAAGCTTGTCTCAACCTAACTTATAAGCCATTTAAATCTATGTTGTCCCGTAAACGCACAGCCAAAGGGTTAGTTCTACAAAAAAAGTTGAGAAAATTGTGAAGCCCTAATTGAGTCTTGCAGACACCACAAGTAAAGTCGATCATCTCGCCCATTACTCAAAACCAAATCATGACATCGTAGACGACAAAAATGAGACGTATCCTCGGAGGATCATATTCGAAGTAAAGGGATTTTTTCCGGAGAAAAATCAATTCTGATAATGATCGTTTTTGACAGATATTTTTCATAGCTTTCTCCCTCTGTCTCACCTGTTGTTCCACTTGTCATTATAAAGGTGGCAATATTGTCTGGATCGACTGTCGGCCGTTGACGTACATCGGCTTTCTTCATCGTCTTGAAAATCGATGGAATATTTCGAATTTTGCTCTTCTCATCACAGATCACCTCATCCATGACGAGTATCTCTTTAATTTGCTCGTTCTCCAACAACTCATTCTGAAACGATTGAATACGTTCTAAGCTATCGACAATAAGCACTTCTGTTTGAGTCCTGCGAAGTACGCTTAAAATGGTTGCGGGGTCGTAGCTTGTATAGAGACTAACGGTAATAAATCCATACATATAACAGGCATACTCGACAAATAGATATTCAGGTCGATTCGATGAAATGATGGCCACTTTTGACTGCATCGGTATAAGTCTTGTAACCGTCCATAGATGTGAACCGATGAAACGACTTCGTTCCAATACCATCGAATAGGACAGCCATTGTAATGACTCTGTACTGTTCGACGGTTGAAAAAAGCCCACACAAGGACCGTCTTCTGAAACAACATAACCTTCATACAAGGCATCACCAAGTGTTCGTACGTTGGGACATGTTGTCTTATAGAATGTCCACATATCAACATCTTTATAGAATGCACATCGACGAGTATGTTCGACTGGATTAATTTCAATTGATTGTTGTTTCAAATCTATTCCATCGTCATATAACCGTTGAATGCGTGTTTTATAAGCACGTATGTTTGCACAAGTGACCGGAACTGCTCTAACAGCTGATATAGCATATGTTGCTCTCGATTTAAAGAACGACTGCAGCATCAATTTTTCTGCTTGAAAGAGAAAAGAAATCCGAATGAGTTTTTGGAGGGTCGCTACTGTCCATGCGATTTCTTATAGTAAATTTAGGCATCTTTTCTGTTCACTGATTATGAAACCACTATATATTCTGCCAACTTGACGGACTAAGCTGAAGTCAACTGGAAAAATCGGTGATGTTGATCGTGGACGCCGAAAAGTTTCTTTTTTCCGTTTGCTCACTGAGCCAGTGCTCCTTCAGAAATGGTGTGATATTTTATGTATTAATGTTACTAATCTTAGTGTGTTTTCTATGTCAGTTTGACGTACACGAGTTGTACTATGTGCTACGCTCTTTTTTAGAAAACGGTACAGTCTACTTTTTGAGATACAGAGCTGTCAATATCGCTGTCAATGCACCTTCTGTGTGCATATAGAAATAGATATAAAGCCTATTTATTGTCGATTTAAAAAATCTATAAATCGACAATGGGTTGCAGAGATAGTTCATCGATCGGCTCGGTTTGTTACTCAATGGTGGGAAAAGTCATATGATGTATGTTTTGCCGATTGTTCAGAAAGTGCTCGTAACCACAAGTTGTTAGAAAGCAGTAAAAACGTCATTGTCAATACGAATATCAAAAACAACGAAAACGTTCTTCATCGTAGCAAAGGAAACTGAATACGTGGTCCGAAAAACAATCGATAATTATCGTCACATATCGGGGTTAAAGCCATTCATGTTATTCCAAGTCCAATAACGCGTATCCGGGATTGTTTGTGGCTTTGCAATTGCTTAAAATACTAGACTCACTAGAACGTCTTGCATCTCGCACCGTCTGATGAATTTTCTCTTTGGACCATTCCCAGACCAAATTATCAGAATGACAGAGTTTGGGTTAAAGATAAAAGCGAACGGTAGCAAAACATGTATTTTCTTTTCGCAAAAATGAAGAAAATGTAATTAATGTGAACGAAGTAGTATTTATTCAAGACGAAGCACCATGCAGGAGAACAAATATGATGCAACAATCGACTGAAGACAACAACTACAATTTTGAGGTAATAATAATTGGCCCGGAAATTCACTCGACCTGAATGCGGCAGAACATATCGGAGCGACAATCAAATATGAAGTTGAGAAAAGAATGTTATCATAGACCGGATGTAAGCGTCATTGTGAAGAAACACTGAGAAATCACATTTCAGATGTTCTGACAAACATGGAAACAAATACTGAGCATTCTGAAACTCTGTTATGCTCGTATCCATCCTGGCTTCGTGCCGTAAAAAATGCCGATGGTCGTCATACTGATTATCGATTATATTCATCAAGTCATTAAAAATGAAGATTGATTTGATATATTCGTCATTGCCACATTTTTAGTTTGAGCACTGTTTCTCGGACGAACATTTTGCCATTTCAATGCTCCGTAAAATTTCGGTAATTTCCAGAATTTTACAGTTAATAATCGTCATACGGATTATTAATTATACCCATTTATCCCATTCTAACTGAGCCTTGACTAGATATATATTTCAATTTTCGGGAGAAATCCTCAAAATACTATGAGCACCAATAGAACAAAAGATTTGCATCCCTCTGAGGAAACTTGAGATTTTGCCACCGTTCGAATTTGATATATTCGGATTTACCATTAAAACCTGAGTCTAACCGTGTACCTTTGAGTCACAAAAAATAAAGTACCTGTGTTGCACAATTTTGACAAGGGTAAGCGCTCGACAAAATGAGCTACCTCTCTCGCAAACCTATCTCCTCCTTGGTTTTGAAACTTTTTCCACTGATTGTCATACGCCATTCGAATCAGCATTTAAAGGTGAACAAAAGTATGCATCACTTTTTTCAAAAAGTTTTTTTCTCATAGAGATATTTTGATTTTACTGGAAAAACGATGAACGAGAGAAGGCGTTTTTTTCTAAACTGCTCTTTTTTATTCGTTTTGTAGTTTTC